ATATATGTGTGTGTGTGTGTGTGTGTGTGTGTGTGTGTGTGTGTGTGTGTGTGTGTGTGTGTGTGTGTGTGTGTGTGTGAAAGCTACATCCATGTTTTGAATCAACAAATGCTGCCATACTGTACAAGACACGTATTTTTCAGGGACGTCCTACTGATTTCAGCGAGACAATGCCAAGCCACATGCTGAACGTGTTCCAGTTTTGTGGCTTCAGAGTTAAAGAGTGCAGGTACTAGACTGGCCTGCCTGCAGTCCAGACCTGTCTCCCACTGAAAATGTGTGGAGCATTATCAAGCACCAAATATAACAACAGAGACCCCTGGACTGTTGAGCAACTAAAGTTATTCATCAAGCAAGAATGAAAGAATTTCACAGGGCTTCAACAATTAWCGTTCTCAGTTCACAAACACTTATTGAGTGTTGTTAAAAGGAAAGCTGTGCCAGATGTTTTAGAGCATGYTGAAGGCATCAACTTCAAAATGAGGAAATGTTAAAAAAAAAAAAACTAAAAAAGTTTATCTGTTTGAACATTAAATCTTTTGTCTTTTAGTGTATTCAGTTGAATGTGGGTTGAAAAGTATTTGCAAATCATCAAATTATATTTTTATTTTTTTTAMACATCTAGCTAGCTAGATGCTAAAAAATAGCAAAACTAATGGCTAAAATAAGCTATAAGTTTAAAATAGCTGGCTAGGTCAAAGCTAAATGTAGTAGCCTACAGTCGTAGCAAAAAATTAAATAAAAGCTGCATAAAAAGACAAAATAGTGTAAGTGTGCTGAAGCAGATTACAAAGAGAACAATGTTTTTTGATCTCTATGTATTTCTGTGGGGATATATATTTTTTATTATAAAAAATGTAAAAACAACTTTAAAAATATAAAAGGTACAAAAAGGAAAAATCACAGCATCCATCTCTTGAATAAGTTAATATTTAAATACTCTATAGCAAAGGTTATAATAAAAAAACAGGAAAACACTTAAAAACAAAGCAAAGCCATGCAAAAAAATATATTCATTGAAGTATAGATTAAAGAAAAATGACTTAATGGTGGGATTATCACATGTACACAAAGAAAGAAGGATATAACATGAAAATCTGTAATTCAATTTTCATTTGAAATAATTTCCATTTTGTTTTTCTTTTATTTCRTGTTTGTCACAGGGAAGAATGCACTCTCTACAGACAAGCTTCTTTCAGGAGAGTGAACTCTGTCAACACTGAGAGAGATGTGGTACAAGCACTACTTTATTTCTTTTTAAACTGTCTTTCTGCAGAACCAGTTTGTGTTTCCTGTTCTGCTACACATCCTGGTTCAGGTTGAGGCACGAGGAATGCTGCTCTYAAATGTTTCAGTCTAATATGCAAATAGAGAAACGATAAGGACCTTAAGCCACTAGTAATTTTTCATCTTGGACTACTTTTAGGGTTTTGTTAGACCGTTTCTTGAGCCTTGCTGTGTGTTTTTTTTTCTTTTCAGACAGAAGAAAACATCCCTCTGAGGGTGGARGGAACACTGAGGACCAGCCTGTCTTCCCTCGGGGTCAGTCTTTGTACTGTATTTATCTAAATCTACATGCAAAGCCGGGGCCTGTGACTGAGGCTTTACTGTCCAGATGCTGCACGGCTAAGTTCTGTGCTTCAAAAGTTGTGCACCTCAGATATTAATACTAACACTATGGATTAGTGAAGACTGCTGAGGTCCTTTAACACTTCTYTTCTCTTGAGATGTTTGGCTTCTTCATTTCTTTCTGCGTGCCCATTTTTCCTCTGGAAGTTCTCAGCTGTTTGAAGTTGGTGTCAGGATCAAAGCACGACTCCATCCTCCTGGAAATGTAATAAATGTAATCAAGAAAGCATTTGGTTAGAAAAGCTTAAATGTAGTAATCTCACTGGGCTGCCACTCTTGRGACTAGTTTGTGAATGATGTTTTTAAGGGAATCTCCAAAATGTGTTGAAACCTTTCACAGTGGTTCTCAATTTTCTTGCATGAGTTGCCAAGTTGTCACAGGGGTTTCTTCTTTCGGTGACCATAATTCTAAAACACTAGAGGTGTGTTTTGACGCCGCACCTGTCCTCTGCCCAGAAACACCTGAGCTAAAAACTAATCAGAGGAAGATAAATAATTACTACAAAGAATTGGTCAACATTGACTTATTTTGTTCCAAAAATGTACTTCAGTAGATTAAATCATAATCATAAGAACTGCTGTGGACTAAAACAGATAATCTGCACAACCTACAGTTTAACAGATTTTTAAACCATGCACACTTATATACGTAGGCTGTAATTTTCAAAAATGYGACCCCCATTCCAGCTGTCACAGTCGTTGTGTCCTTCGGCAAGACACTTTACCCACCTTGCCTGTTGGTGGTGGTTGAGGTCCGGTGGCGCCGGTGCATGGCCCCCCAATCTGATTCACAAAGCCCACATTGTAGCAGGACCACAATTGTCACTGTCAGTGTCAGTGTGCTCCAGGGCAGCTGTGGCTACAATGTAGCTTACCACCATCAGTGTGTGAATGGGTGAATGTAGTGTAAAGCATTTCGGAGTCCCTTGGGCCTTGATAAAGCGCTGTATAAGTTCAGACTGTTTACCAAAAATTTTAGTGGGGCAGAGATTTATTTTCTGAATCAAATCAAATATAGAAATTAAATTAAATCATTTAAATTCAACAAGAAAGAACAAGAGAAACTGCACGGTAATAACTTAATTCAAATCATTTGAGCTAATACTGTTTAGCCTACGTTAATCTTATTGGTAAGGTGAGCTTTTCAGAAGATWGTAAAAACTCAATGAATTGCAGCAACATTGGAGCTTGCAAAGGATCTTACTGAAAAAGAGGGATACGTTTTATGTAAGGATAAATCATTCAAAATTAAGTTTTCTGGGAAAAAAAAGCAAAATGTTTTAAAAGTGATACTTTATTTCATTTCAGTAACCAGATTTTTTTCACACCTTTGTCCCTGTCAAATAATCATTCTATAGATGTCTCTCACAGTTGACACAAGTAAACCTTTACTTGGTTTTTCACTGAATTGGTTCCTATAACACATTTGAAACAAACATCTTATATAAAAAAGTATCCATCCATCCGTCCATCCATCCATCCATCCATCCATCCATCCATCCATCCATCCATCCATCCATCCATCCATCCATCCATCCATCCATCTCCATCCTCTTTATCCAGGGTTGGGTCTCGGGGGCAGCAGCCTAAGCAGAGAGACCCAGACTTCCCTCTCCCCAGCCACTTGGGCCAGCTCCTCTGKGGGAATCCCAAGGCATTCCCAGGCCAGCTGAGAAACATAGTCCCTCCTGGGTCCTGGGTCTTCCTCTGTGTCTCCTCCCAGYGGGACATGCCCAGAACACCTCACCAGGGAGGYGTCCAGGAGGCATCCTAACCAGATGCCTGAGTCACCTCAACTGGCTCCTCTCRACRGGGAGGAACAACGGCTCTGACCGAGMTTCTCACACTTTCTCTAAGGGAGAGCCCAAAAGTATATAAACAGACAAACAGTATAAAAAACTGTGGAATCACCTTATTAGAGCATAAAAAATTCTTCTGTAGAAGAAAAACAGATGCAGTCACATGCAACTCCAATGACCTCAGTTATAAATAAATCCTGGTAAACTCACCTTATAATCAAAGAAAGGATCATTACAACCGGATCAGTGTACATGYTGATAATCACTGTATTTCCCTGTTCTAGCAGGAGCTGGCCCACTGCCGTGACAGCAGGTCTACCATCTCATGTGGCCGGGGGGGCTTGGGGGCGTACGACTCCCTGGGTAGACCATCTCTGAACAACAACTCCCGGAGGGGGAGGCTTTTTGATCGAGATGAGGAGGCAAGGCTCAGAGTGGAGTCATATGTGAAAAACAGCAACATGTCCTTGGTAAGTTTTTTAGATTGCATTTTAGAATCCAGGCATGTCCAAACGTGTTTTTACCAAACGATGGAATGCCTCACACTGAGATTACTCAGTTGCATATTCACCTGGTGATAATAACGTGACGAGTTAATGCGTCTGCTCTTAGTCTTTGTCACAGGAGAGCCGTTACCAACCTCCTCTCACGCCATCCACCTTCCCTGCTGTACACCAGACTGAGGCCTTGAGACACATGAATGGCAATGCCGTAATGCCAGCAGATGGGGGCTCACGCCCAGGAAGCTTCACCAAGACCTATCAGCCCCCTCCTGTGAGCTGCACCTACCCACCGGTTACAGACGACGAGGACGAAGTCGACGAAGGGCTGGGCGGCCCTGCCAGTCAAGAGCATCCTGACGATCAGGACAGCGAGCACTCCGGCTTGTCTGACTTTTCCAAACTCAGAAAGAGCCCCCCAATCATCAATCCCCAYAAGAGTATAATCCACAAAGCCCACATTGTTTAAGTTGTGGCCGGACCACAATTTGTGTAGGCGCAGAAATAAGGTCATCCAGAAACTCGTCCTGTTGTCCTTTGTGACAAATCTAAACCTCAACTTCAATGCTGCGTCTTTTGTTTTCTCCATACTGTGGAAACTGTGTGCAGAGAAGTCATCAAAAGCTCTCTGATCCTACACATGAGCTATTTGCTCACATTACAGGTTCAAACAAAGGCAACGCTGTGTGTTCCCACCCTGTGCAGCTACCACAGTGTTAAACTGCCAGGCTTTTTCAGTGCAAACTTTGCCTTCACTCACTTCACCTGCATGGATCTCAAAGCTCTCAGGGTTGCACGTTGTTAGGAATCCAGAAAATGCAAGTGGAGTAAAAAAAAAAAAAACTGAAAAAAAAAGTTGTGGGAAAGTATGTAAATCAAACAAGAAGATTGCGACACATCCACCGCAAGAGCGTGTTTTTATGCTCAGGTGGTGTTTGGCGTAAAAGCAACTGTGCAGGTTTTCCCTCCAACACAACTGCTCGGGCTTTGATCCAGAACTCTGACATGTGCGTCTGAGGCAGCGCCTGAACCTGCGTACCTCCTGTACTTTACCTGTGTCTTCACCTCAAGCATTGAGACTGGTTCAAACTTTCAGAATGAGTTTGCCCTCTGTAAATCCGTTCAGATGCTCACAAGTATTCAGTTTTTGTATGAATCATATCTCTTCACCTGGTTTTTTGATATAATCCATATTACTCTGTTCTATGTTTCTGTCTGTAATGTCAAACAGATCCTTAATAATTTCACACAGCTTCATGACCTGCAGCTCCAGTGCCACATGTGGCCATTTCCTCCATCTGCAGCGACTGTAACCAAAAATAACAGGAAAATGTATATGATTGATATTTATACCCACAACAGATCAGGCTAGTTTTAACAGCTTTCCTGTGACTTTTTTTGCAAACTTGTAAATAATACTTTTTTTAGCGTATTAGCCACTACATTAATTCAACTTTTAGCCATACAGTGCGCTCTTTATGAGGCGCTAAGTGTAAAATGAATTGTTAAAAACATTTGCTAACGTTTTTCATTATTTAGCTCACTTTTTGAGTGTTAAAATTTTTCCACTAACATATATTTTGTTATTTAGCTAACTGTTCTTACGTTTAGCTAATTTTTACTGAATGTTAAATTTAAATGTTAAAAAATATAGCTAAATATTGAATCCGAAATCTAAATGTTTAAATCTAAATGTAAAAGTTAAATGTTAAATGTTGAAGTTAAATGTTGAAGTTCACATTTAAGTATTTTGGAATGGAATGCAGCCTTTGCCGTTGGTGGTCGGCTCATTTTATGATGTCATCAAACTGAGACAATAGCAACTCCGATGCAGCTAAAGGCTGTGTCCAAAACGGCAGGACGGGTCCTCCGAAG